AGCAATTTACTATACTGAAGTTATTTCTGCCAAGCTTGCCACAATGTCCAGCTTGGTTGTACTTGGCAGTGTTAGGATTTTAAGTATTTTTTAGTTCAAAGTTCTATAAAATGTTCATGTCAGTCTCCTATGAACTCAGCAATTTGAATGTCCTGAGCAGTTTGTAGTCTGAAGCTGATCTTTGGGTGATGTTCAGCAGCTTAGCCTGTCTAAGCCTGTCTAGGTAGAACACAGCAGTCAAAGCAAAGGTGTCCACTGTTTTCACAAAGCCTGGCAGTAGAAAAGGCATGGGGCAGTTTGCCCAGTGCTAGTGTTATGAGCACTGGGACTCATTGTTGGTGGACTCATTGTTGGTGGACTCATTGTTGCGGGGCCCCAGCATCTTCTTGGAAACCTAAAAGGTTACTACTGTTAGGAATGGTAGAAAACTTAAACATTTTAAATCTCATATTCAGCAAATCTCCAAAAGGTTTGAGAACCATATTCTATTAAGTACATCCAAGGTACACAAGCTTTGTTCCTAGTTACTGGCTTCAGACTCAAACCTGAAAACATGTACAGAACAGGAAAGAGAACACTGAAGGACCACATGTGGATGCCAACTCCATGCCCTCGTCCATGACTTCTTCAACTTTCTATACCCCAATAAGGGGACAGGACATGCCTTGGCAAGAGAGGAGTACCAGATAAGAGGTGTGTCCCCAGAAATGTTGCTTTATTCCATTTGCTACTAGTTAGCTCTTTTTATCCCCCATGCAACCCCCACCCTTTCATCTAATGAGGAAAGAGACAGAAACAGCTCAAGAAGGCAGAACTCACCCACCGGATTATTTCACTAGAGCTGACCACCTTTAGCCATGCCCTCCACACTGAGGCTCTTTCCAGATGTCTCTGTGCTCGACACTTTAATGCACATTTGCTCTGCCTGCTTCTGGCCTGGCTGTTATCTGTACTGGCCTTCCACTGTGTCTTTTGATTTCAAACGAAGGTTCAGTATCCTTAGTTGTAGAGTAATTCCATAATATTTTCTTCTCCAAGAACCCTTCTTTAGTTTCCCCTAGAGATTCTTTGTTTTAAAACAATAAATAGATGAGCCAATTGGCCAGTCATAATTTAACCTATTTACAAGTGGCAGCCCTAAACTTAATTTTTAATTTCAGATCTACCAGGATTTCTTTTAAGAATTTAAACATACTGAAAAATATTGCAAACACCTTACACTATCTTTCAATAGCATTAGAGTCAGAAGATTGGGTTTTCTGAGAGTCCCTGCAGACTTCTTGGCTATGTGATCTTGTGTGACTTATTCAGTCTTGAGTCTCTGTCTATAAAATGGGGATAATGATTTATTCCATGTGCCGCAGGGCTGATTTTAGGGAATGCACATCAAAGTGCTTTGTAAAGCTTTTCCCACCAGCTGCGTTCATGTGCGTCTGGTAACTGGCCCTGTTTTTTCTTAGACCTTTTCAAAGTCAGCACGTAGCCTTGTTTATTCCCTTAACCTTAGCTTCTCATCTCAACGCCAGCAACAGCCTTCAAACCCATTGTCTCTTGCATCATATTTCTCAAACCCAGTCTCTTCTGCACTAAGAAGATCCATGGTTGGTGGAGAATTCAGGCTGGACACAGCAGACGCTGTGCTGCCTCTTTAGCTCTGGTGCAGTGCTGACAACTTTAGTTACTGATAATGCTGAGCATCCCTGGCCACCTGGCAGGGTACTGTTTGTATTATTCTAAGGTTCAAAAGAGAAGAGTCACTATAGTTATGGCCAAGATGTTGAGCTCAGTCTTTCAGAGGCCTCTGACAGACTAAAGGTGAATCTCTCATTTGTACAGAATGGACTCATCCCAAATTCACAAAATCAAGAATTCCAGATATAGTGTTTCATCCTAGAAAAAGATGAAGAATATTGTGGGGATGCCAAGGCCCATAAATTGTACATTGTTATAAGAGTACAAGGGAGTATCTGTGTTGTGGGGAAAGTACAGTGAAAGTGTTTGCACTAGAAAAAGCACCCGTTCATCAAATTAACAAAAATAGCCCTCAGTGAATGAGAACTGAAAGTGGTTAAACTCTTGATACACATCCAATCCTCGAAACTACCACAAGGACTCCCCCAGAAGACAGCATGTCTACCACCTGCCTCGAGCACTGGCGAACCCCAGTGCCAGCTGCAGCCTGTGGAGCAGGGGCCTGAGTCCTGAGGCCACACAGCATCAGCTTACAGTGAACTTTAAACCCAGTTGTTTTCACTGACCAGGAGGAGGAGGACAAAGAGGAGGACAGACGAGGAGAAAGCAGCAGCAACAGCTCCAAGTTCTAAACAGAACCTGGCTCTTTGTTCCACAAGTCAATTTCCCTTTGCCAGTATTTTGGATCCACAGGGTTCCTCTACCTTCCCAGTGCCCAGGCCCCAGAATCTGGGTCACTCATCTTACCTCGGTCTAATCTCAAGGGCACTGAGATTCTTTCCAAATGTTTCAAATGCAAAGTTTTCTTTCACTTCCCCTTATAAATATTTTCATCTAGATCTACACACCTCAGATTAGAAGCTATGTTGCAAGGACATGCTCTGTGGCAAACTGGCACAGCTCCCACATCTAAAAGCACATTTAGCAAACAGCAGCTGTCCAATACATACTTGCCGGACACAGGAGTGGCAGATAAGCCATCCGGTATCTGTGTGGGCAACTGCTGGTAATCCAGCTGCTCATCTCCCTAGACTGTCCCCAGCTGCTGTCTACAGCATTTCCAGGCCATCGTTATAAAACACTACTTCCATTAAGTCTCAAACTATCACAAAAACCATCAGGGCTAGGCTGAGAGATGGCTCAGAGGTTAAGAGCACTGGCTGCTTTTCCAGAAGTTATGAGTTCAATTCCTAGCAACCACATGGTGGCTCACAACCATCTATAATGAGATCTGGTGCCCTTTTCTGGTGTGCATGTGTACATGCAGACAGAACATTGTATACATATTAAATCTTAAAAACAAAACAAACAAGCCCGTTCTAAGGAAAGGAACTCAGACTTAACTCTTGCCTAGGCGTTCTCTTGCCGTACTTCCTATTCCCCCGTGTCTCTCCGCCAAGCTTGTCTCCCTTCTGAACAGACCTCCAGTGATTACCGTCTATGTGACCTTCATTTGTGCTACATTAATCTCCCCAGAAAATGCTCCCTTTTCCTTTCGGCATGCCTGCATCCATGAACTAGTTACTTTACCCTCGGACTCTCTAGAATAGCCCAGAGTAACCTCTCCATGCTACAATTTGCTGTATTTGAGTCTCTGTTTAACCAGGAACTATCATGCACAGTCTCACTCAGGATGAAAAGAAAGGAAGTATAAAAAAGTTTTAGATTCAAACGCCCATATATAAGTAGAGGTTCGGAGCATCAGTGTATTGATACAGCAAAGAATTATGGATGAAGCCAGGTATCGTTGCTCACCCTCTTAATCCAACACTAGGGAGTCGGAGGCAGGAGGATCAGTCATTTGAAGCCACTCTGATGATAACACATATTCCTCTACAGTGTTGTCCATCACTCGGCCAGCCCAGGCCCTTTCTGCTTCCAGAGGCTCTCAGAATACATTTTGTTCTAGTCCTCAGAATGAGAGCCTCATATGATTACATGAGAACAGTGGGCCCAAAGGGCACATGGAGATTGTGCACCTGAGGCTGGAAGTAGAGTCTTCCCCATCTCTCCTGTGGCTGCCTTCCAGCTCCATGCCAAGACTTACAGGGGACAGTCCAGCCAGCACTTACATTGAGAGAGACCTCAAGGCAGAGGCCCTTAGCAAGGCTGTGCCCATATATATTTCTGACAACACACTATGAGATAATAGGTTTTGGTGCTCTAAGATGTTAAACTTTGGATAATCTGTTACAAAACACTAATAATTAATATCTAGATAGTGAGAATGAAATTGTGGCGAATATGGAATAGCCTGGTAAAACAGATGTTTATGTATGCAAGGCTAGAGAGACATAGGGACGATAGGAAAGGGTCGCCTCTATAAAGGATAACAGATACCGGCATCACCACCTTCATGGCAGGCGACGAGGGGAGGACAGTGTCAAAGCTCCGTCTCCACGATCTAGCACTGGAACGTGGCTCTGTCCACACTGTTCCATGTCTCCTCGCACAGTTTCATGACACTCACTCCACTGTGTACCGTCAGTCTCATGTGTCAAGTCCATATGCAAAGCTCAAAAAGAGCCACAGAGACTTAAGACCAACTACCAAGCTTAATCTATAGTCCCTTATTAGGAGGCCCATGGCCAGGCAAGAGCACATTTTTTTTTAACTCAATTTAAGTTCAATAAGTCATCTGTTAGGGTGTATTACATAACGGATATTTCAGTCAAGCTATATTAATTTTTTCTCTTACTATGGATACCAAAATTACTTTTAAGATTTATTTTATGTGTGTGTTTTTGTGGATTGTATACATTTTGTGTGTGTGTGTGTACGTGTGTGTGTTTGAGTGTGGATGTGTGTGTGAGCGGATTATATGCACTGTGTATATTAGGGGAGGGAATTGTGCCTGCAAAGGCCAGCAGAGGGTATCAAATTTCCTGGCATTAGAGTCACAGGACGTTCTGATCTGCTCACTGTGGGTACTGAGAACTGAGCCCAGGTCCTCTAGAAGGGAGTCTGGTCTCTTAACCTCTGACCCATCTCTGCAGCCCCCAAATACTTCAGTAACAAAGCACATATGGAAAATCAAAACTGTAAACAAAGTCCCACATGATCTAAACAGTATAAAACCCAACCCATTTTCCTTTAAATGTTTACTTGAATAATTTTAACTCTTTCTCTCCAAAAAGCAATATAATCTAAGACCCTAAAACAACTGTCATGCTATCATGCAGCAGGTCTGAGAGTAACCTACCAGCAAGCATCCCTGAGTTCCAAATTCTGACACTAACTTCCGGCACTCTGCCTAAGGGATAAAAGAGTCTCGTGGTTACTTATTCTGGCTCTAATGTTTGACTTACCACCTGGAGTTCAGGGAGGAATGCCCTTTCTCGGTGATAGGAGCCATTAGCACCTGGTGGTTCACCACATCTAGATACTTCTCAATGTGAATCTGTTACAGAAAAGTCAAAGCTCAGGCCATTATGGTGGATGGAAGATCCTCAGCTAACTTACTTTCGGTCAGTACCTTGCATCAAGCCCCCAACATGCACACAACCTCTTCTATACCATTTCTGCTCTGCGCTGCCACTAGGAACACATACAAGGTTGGTGGCAGCCTGGATGGCTCCTGCTCTCTCCGGTGGTATGTTATGTGCCTAAGGTATCATTGGGCATCGCAAGGCCAAATTACTTCAAATGTCCCAAAAAGGAAAAGAACATTTGAGCCTCAAAGCTTAAGTGATCCGTAGCCCTCAATCACAAGCGAATCTGTGCACCCAAGTCAGTAAATGGCTTTCCTATACAGATCTGACCCGGTAATACCAACACGGAAACATGTCTTCCTCATACATGAGCTTCAAGCAACAGTCTGAGGAATACAGTCTGGTGGCCTAAACCCATCTCTGCTAAGGAGCCGCATAGGGACCTGTGAGAACCACCAATCCATTTTGTCTTTCCAGTATTTTATTTGCTGTCCAAAGCTTTACTTACTTTTAACCCCATTTCAGTCCTCTGGATTGCTGTCTCAAGATTTTTAATGTCTAGAGGGTCTCTTGTCTTCTCAGTTGAGAATTTTGTTAATTTCTCCTTTAACTGATGAAGGTCTTCATGGACCTGAATACAAAATAAATAGATAGATAGATAGATAGATAGATAGATAGATAGATAGATAGATAGATAGATAAATAAATTGAAGTATGCATTGTCTACTGATTGTAAAGTTTTGTAGGTGGTTTTGAGATATGATTTTTCTGCAGTCCAGGCTAGTCTTGGGTTTTTCACTAAGTAGCCAAGGATGACCTTGAACTTCTTCATCCTGTCTCCACCTCTGGAAGCTGGGGTTACAGGTGCACACCCACACTGGTTGTTGTGTTGGAGACTGAAGCCAGGGCTAGACAAACACTCCAGCAACTGAGCCATACCCCCAGGCCTGTGGTCACTGACAGAATAGGCCTACCTACAGTGGGCTCATGTTGCTAGACACTCATGGCTTTCGGGCATCCGTCTGAAAGGACTGCCTCCACGGCTCTAGGCCAGCCCTTATTAAGAGGATTAATCTTGTCTCTGAGTTTGAACGAGACGCCTTCTACACCATTTCTGGCTTGTGCTGCCACTAGGAACACATACAAGGTTGGTGGCAGCCTGGATGGCTCCTGCTCTCTCCGGTGGTAGTGCAGTTGAGGTACACCAGACTCTGGCAGATCAGTTAAGGTAAAGAACAGGGAACTTCAGCAAAGAAAGGCTCTAGCAGCAGTGGCTCACAATAAATTTGCCTGCAGGGCTGTGTGGCCTTCCCTCCCAGAGGCTCTGCTGCTCACTGCTCTGAGGAAGCAGCTATGTAAGGGAGCCTTTGATCTTGTTTTGCTTAGTGAGAAATGGAATAACCCATGAAGATTAAAAAGAAGAAGAAAGCAGCATATGCCCTTGCTTTAACATGCCCCTCCAATGTGTGTTTCCCTTTGAGATGGTGAACATGTCTCTGTCAGGTACCCTCAGGACCAAATGGGCATTGTGACACAAGGAAGCTGCTGACCCACTGTGTACATACGAGAAACCAAACTTCAGATAAATGCAGATGGCACCGAGTATTGCATGGCTGCTGCCAGGAAGAAAACATTTCTTTATGCTAATTCATAACCCCAGACACCTGTTTCAGCTACAGTCACACCAACGGCAATCTGCAGACTGGGTTGCTATAGGCATTTTGAAACGTCTACCTGTGCCTTGGTAGGATAACTGGACTCGCCATTGGTCGGGCCTATGCTATTGTTTACTTGGGGATGTTCCCACAGAACCAAGTGCCATTTTCAACAGGCAGAATTTGCATCTTTTCACTGATGGGCATCAAAATTTGGCAGACAAATCTGATTATTTCCACCCTGCTCGGATCATCACAAAAAGCCTCCAGGGCTCACAGACTGATACCTAAACACACTCACTGCTTGCCTGGAGATGATGAAGAGACATGTCTGCTGATTCTTTTGTCCAAATCACTGCGCTGACTTAGCATCTACTGTTTAAAAACATGTGCAGTGTAAGAGTCAGTTCAAAGGGAGCCCTTTGGAGCTCCTACATTTAGGCTCCTCCTAGAAGGGAGCTGGCTGTGTACTTGCAGCTCCATGGACCTTTCTGTAATGACTGACGCGTGGGAGTGAAACTGAGCTGGAGTATTCACCAAAGTACCAAAGATTTGTTTTCCTCTATGTGCCCCTTGTGTAGACAACATCACACCTTCAGATAGCTGTGAGAGCACATGCAGCAGGCCCGATGAAGTCCTCAACAAATGGCAGCCGCACACAGCTCTCAGCACTATCTCTAAGCATTCAATTTCCATGTATATTATTCAAAATTTCAGCTCCTCCTCTAGTTTCTTTGCCAGAATACAATCATTTCTCTACTCTTTGGAATTAGTAAATGAAAGTAGTGGGCATAAAAGTGAGGCAATACAGACTTCGTTGCCAGATGCATGTGAGCTGGAATTCTGCCTGAACTTGGGAACGGTCCAGAGGCTCTTAGAGGCCTAATGTTCTCACCTGTAAAATAGGGGTTCATGCTAGCTTCTTCAGAATGGGAGTCAGAAGTGATCTATAAACGTGTTTTGCACAGGCTGGCCACACAGGAGGGTACAGAGCCCTCCTCCCTGGATCGCAAGCCCGAGCAAACCTCACTGCATGTGACTAGCTGATAACGCTATTGTATCGCTGAACACAGCTGCTCAAAAGCCACCTTAGGTTCTTGCCAGGTTATTCTGTTCTCCCCTTTTAAAAAGTCCCTGTTTGTAAGACTGCAGTAGACATGAGCACCGTGCGAAATGTCACAGAAGACCTGGCAGGAAATGAGGTTAAATTCTCTCTTTCTCTTCTTTCTTCAAGTCTAGTCTCTGGTATTGAGACTGTACAGGTCACCCATTAGCTTTATGAACATCAAAAAACATTACTCACTATACATTTTCTACACACTTACTGTTTTGATAGTCTGGGAACAGAGTCATTCTAAATAGAAACCTTTGAAAGGATTAATGCACGTGCTGTTGAACCTGAAAGATCCCTGAGACCAGACACCACACAGTAGTCAGCAATACAAAATTCCATTTTGTTTACCTCTGCCCAGCACAAAAATTGGCTGATTCATGCTCATCTCTTGAAGTTACTTTTGACCTTGTTTATCTTAGTATTATATGTGCTTTATAAATCATACACAGAAACTGATGAGAGCACCAATGAAGACATCAAGCTGTCAATTTAGCTTCCATGTTCCCAAGCTTTATGTTAAGATACAACTGCTGAGCCAGGTGCAGTGGTACATGCCTGTAATCCCAGTACTCGGGGAGAGGGAGGCAGAGGCAGGTGGATCTCTGTGAGTTTAAGGCTAGCCTGGTCTACAAAGTGAGTCCAGGACAGCCAAGGCTGTACAGAGAAAACCCTGTCTCGCCACCTCCCCCCCAAAAAAAAACAGCAAACAAACAAACAAACAATGAAAAACCCCAACTGCTGGACTTTTGTAATATAATTTCTAAAACTAATTTAAAAGGTAATTTTTATAGAAAGACCAGGTATCCTTCATTAGAAGAACATTTTGTTAAATATACACAGAAACAAAGACACATGCGCACACATCTACACGCATGGCCTGCTTAAGATCAGCACACAGTGGATGTCATTACTTTGATTCAATTACTTTACATGTTTGTACTTGATTTTCTTCTGATATCTGCCTAACACAGTTGTTAGGATTTCATGAGATCGCCTAGAGCTCCCATACACTCACTATCTGATGACCCTTATTCTTCACACTAATCTGACTAGCTGAGGAAAGATTCAGCTGAAACTGTTAAAAAAAAAAATCTAAATTATAGGCCTGAAAATAAAAGAAGTTGTAGTTAATAGAATGTTGCCAATAGAACTCCATGAAGACCCAGTTCTCTGGTCCCATATTTGACAGCAGGACAGAATATTGACAATGGGGGATTATGCAACATTCAGCTGCCCTGGCCAGTCACCCAGATAGTCTGAGTACAGTGGTATTATCTGTGTCTAAATTTGCTCCTAAGTATTCAGATCTAGTCTCAAAAGTCCTACTGTCCTACTTTGCTTTCTGTTGCTGTGAAAAACACCATTACCGAAAACAAGTTGGGAGGAAAGGGTGTAAGATGAAAATCTTGCAGCTAACAGTCCATCTTTGAGGGAAGCCAGGGCAGGAACTCCAGCAGGCTGAACTTGGAGCAGAAGCCACAGAGGAACTTTGTTCACTGCCTTGTTCTCCCTGGCTCATGCTCGGCCTGCTTTCTTAGATAACACAGAACCGTTTTCCCATGAGTGGCACCATATGCAGTGGGCTGGGCTCACTAGTATCCGTCAGCAAGCCAACAATACCCCAGGCCTACAGGCCAATCTGGCGGAGGCAATCCCATGGGTGAGACTCCAGAGATAACTCTAAGCTCTTTCAAATAGACAGCTGAAGCTGCCTAGAACTCTAACATTAATCTGTTCTACTTGTAGAAAAGGGTCTCTATGTATGTTATATGTTAGTGTAGCTCTAATCACTTGTCTTCAGTTTTTGAGAATTTGATTTATCGTGGAATTTTTCTGTAAAAATCAAAGTATACAACTTTATGAATGAATGTCATTATTGTCTATTCATGTGCTTTATGTATGCATACGTAAGAGAGTCCTCAACTGCTAATGAAGGAATCGTTAACAGAAGGATGCTTAACAGGCTTCTTTGCAGAATAAAGGAACACTGTCATCATTCCTTATCCCTCAAGACCTGCTCACATCACTGATCTACAGTCCTGTTCCTCCATGGAGCATAAGTAAGTCTGGCTTGCTCTTTTAGATGCTACAGTGGGCCCTGTGGTTGTGAAACCAGCCTGATGCTAACCAGCGAAGGGGATGCTTCTTGAACCCTTTGATGCCAATGGCTCATGACTATATCAGCTTAGTCATGTTATCTGACCTACTGTCAGGGAGCTTATGCAGATGCTGAGAAGTCAAAGCTTCTAAAAGGCCACTCTGTAAACATGTATAGATGGGATGAGAAAATGGCACAAACCATAAGGAAACTTGTTAGAGGACATAATATACGTTCTACAATTCTAATTAAGATGGTCTGAGGACACTACTCTTAGCTGTTCATGGTAGCATACTCTTCCTTTGGATAGTAATTCTTCTTCAGTTCAAAATTAAAATTGAGATTGAATATTTTAAAGGTATACCATTTGAAGTAATTTTAAAATTGACAATGGTTTTACATTCCATGCCTATTAGAAATAAAATAATTATGAATTGGTTGCTGGTTATAGTTATTTTACTACACTGGAGTAGAAAATTATTTAAATGCCGAGGAACAAAAGGAGACATGGGGAAGCTTACAATGGGGAAGAGACAATGCATTGAAAGGCTTGAGAACTTGTTGAAATTTTCTGTATATATGGGCCTACCTGCAATATTTATCTTTCTTAGTTTTCAAGACATGAATGTAACAAGGCTAGCCTTGTTGCAAGGTCAAATTAATTAAAATATATGCAGCAAGCACTTAGAATAGTATTAGATACCTGATAACTGTGTTTTTTTCTTTGAAATTATCTTAGAGTCTATATTTTGCAATACAGCTGAAAGTGATGGCTGTCAGGTCTGAAGATGCTTTCGAATTCTCTGAAGGGTCTATGAAGACAGATTACAGGGCCCTGGTCCCAGAATTTATGATTCAGTAGGTATGGGGTGCGAGCTGGGAATATGGCCTTTTAAAAATCAGCTAGTGGTGCTGATGTTGGTCCTGAGACCACACCTCGAGAAACAGTGGTTAAAGAATAGTGCTTAGTGAACCTGACTGAGACAAGTGGAGATTTAAAATATCTGTGCTTTGCAATCAAATTTATACACACATGAGCACACCCACACATGCACCTACCTACTTAATGGAAACAATCTTTTTTTCCTAAATTAAAAGTAAAGGAATTCTATTTTTACAGTAGAAAAGAAACCATGTAGCATTGGGGAAACTGGATCAATTTAGAGTCAGAAATGATCCAATCCAAACGATGCATTCTGTAGAAAGGCACTGAAGCCTAGAGGTGATATGACTAGCTTAAAGGTATTCCCCTATGCAAATATGAAGTTCACAGGCAGCCCTGAGTGTACTTGCTCCTAACCAGGTGTTCCTTCTACTTAACACACTTGATCATCGCTGGCCTGTTTAAAGGAGATAATCGAAGGCTCAGACAAAAGTGTAATTGGTGTGGCATAGACCCATGCTGCTTATCCCCAAACTTAAGAGTCACTGGGAAAGAAGGGTGGCTTCCATATTGCCTGGTCATGCAGATTCTATGTAGAGAATTCAGCCCTACACAGAGAGCAGCTTCCATGAACAGAATAGCCTAAGAGGTGGGCTTTCTTCCTTCACATAGCTCTCCACTCTGTGTCTGGAGAAAGCTTCTGCTGTGGAAATCTGTCCTCCAAGTGTTACAGCCACCATCACTGTGACTAGTCACAAGCATCCCTCAGGCCTGGCCTGTTGACTTTCCCTCAGAAGATGTAGTTGGGGAGGTCATGAGACCAAGATTCCAGCCGCTCCTTCCTATGCCTCCCTGTATGCAATCCTTCCCAATCAGCAGGTGACCACACGGTCTCCAGGGGTGATAATACATACAGCCCAGGAGGTTAGCTGAAGGAGACTCCATTTATGCAGCTGTAAAAGAGTTGCTCATGCTGGGGCGAGTCTTGGGTGATTCAGGTGTTTGGAGGTCACCTATTCTCCTGGAAATAATCCCAATAACACTCACTTTTCAGCAAGCTAGATTTGGGTAGAATCATTACTTTGATGCCTTATCTGGGGGAAGCAGATGTGCAATGGGAAGTTTTGGTTTCTTTGTAAACTCAGGTATGTTATGTAAATATGCTTTTGTTTTATTCCCGTGTGGGGTTTTAGTTGGGCTATAATTTTTCCACACCTGTTAATTGTCACATGCTAGGCATTATCTTTGCCTGCTGGTAAGGGCCTTCTGTGTGGCATGGAAGAGGGATGCGGTCTAGGACTCTGAGAGCCTATAATTGGAGAGCCAAGAAAGAGAAGAGAGGTGTTGTGTGGTAGCATTGGCATGTGGTGTGTAGCTGTTTAGAGACCAGAGGCCAGAGACCAGAAATGGTGTGGTGATTTGGAGTAGACAGATGGAGGAAAACACTCTGGGGTGCAGCAGTGTAGAGAAGATAGCTAGCTGTGTCTGTGGTTGATGGAGATTGGTACAGAGCCCTAAAAGAACCCCTTGACCCTAACTAACCAGGAGACGTAAAGGGGTCTGGGCCCCCTCTTTCCATTAACCTTTTTTCTCTCCTACTTCAGTTGTGGAGGTTGGTGGAAGGGAGGAAAAGGCCTAAACACCACAAATAAGGTAGTTTTTTAAAAGACCACTACAGCTGTTATGCCCAGTTTGTGAGACCCCCAAAGACCACCAGGAATCGACTCTGCTGCAAAATACATGAGGGTTTATTCAATACAAGTTCGAGCCCTGGTCACAAAACTTCCTGTGGAAGCAGGAGAGGAATGTGTTGGGGTGGCTTTCCCTACCCAAGGAATAGCCTGGAGAAAACCCAGTAATAATTAACCATCACCCCTAGCAAGAGTTAATCAGTGAATACCTGGAATTTACCCAGGTGTTCTTTACAATAGGATGAATAAAACAATTAGTTTGGCTTGGCCCTCCTGGCAAACAATTTCCTCTGGACACTCGATATTTGCTAAATACCAATCGATCATAAAACTGCCTAGCTGGAAATTTTCAGTTTATCTTGCTGTAACCTTAAGGAAAAACCCTCCTTCTTGTGAGCTCTGGGCTCTACACTCAACCAATGAGTCGGTGAGGGTGTGAGCTTGAGCTTGTAACAAAAAAACCCTATGCGTTTGCATCAGAATCAGCTCCTTGGTGGTCTTTGGGGTCTGCAAGACTTGGGCATAACACAACATTATTTGTAATCCAAGTTATCTTCGATAAATGTTTGGTGTGTGATCCCATGCAAGGAATGACTATTTTAGGTTAAGAAGCACAGGGCTCATATTTCACCTTCTTTTTGAATTTCGCACCACCTCTTAACGAGTCTGTCTTCTCCACACCCCCAAGTCAAGGACTTTAAACATTTCATAATATACTTTTAAGTTTTCCATATATTCTTATATTTTATGAACATATTCATAATATATTTTCGTATCAAGCACCCGAGCCTGTTAGTGCAGATTTACAATCCCAGCTACTCAGGAGGCTAAGGCAGACGGATCAGACTTGAGTTTAAGGTCTGCTTGGACTGCTGAGTGTGTTCAAAAACAGTCTAATTCAATGGCAATCTGGTCTCAAAGTAAAAGGAGGGCTGGTGACGCGGCCTAGCGGTAGAGCACTTGCTCAGCGCTCGCCTGGCATGCTCGGTGTTCAGCCACCAGAACAGGAAGCCCTACAGTGTGGGGCCGGGTGAATGGCGGTGATTGGGGAGCACAGGTTTTGGGGCTCGCGGGGCGGTCTGCGCGGCCGCCGGCCCGGCCTGTTTCCCACCTGGATTAGGATGGATCCAATGGGGTCGTTGTTTTCCTGGACCTTCTGCATGGCTGAGGCCTGCTAAAGACACGCCTCAGAGGGGCGGCCTCCGTCCCCCCATTGGATGT